TAAATTGTTGACTCTGGGCTGTTACAATGTGATAAAGTTTATATTCTGCTGTAAAGCATCATTATCATGTTGTACAGTCACTCCAAAGTGTCTCTCAGACGTTGTGCGCTCACTTCTGTACCTGTACGGTTCAACCGTTGTCTTTATCTTTGACTCAAAAATTGAACTTTTGGTGCTTAGTTGTGACACAATCCAAAATAATCACGACAAAGCTAAGACTCAGCATTCACACATTTTAATTTATTGTTGTTTTTCTTCCAAAAGCACAAACATAAAAAAGGAACATTGGAATAAGGCAGTTTGTACATCAGTTTGGTGCGCTCCATCATCTTCTCACCCAGAAGAGCATCGCCGACTAGAAATACACGAAGCTCATAAATCTAGTCTTTACTGCATTAGAGAAGGTGTCTGATGTCCGGATGCATCGTCACTGATGACAGTATTCAAACATGACAACTCATGTCTAAATATCAACCGGTGATGAAAAAAAACACAACTGTAGTGACTTGTGTTTTATATTTAAAAAAAATGAACAAATAAATAAAAATCTATGAGTAACTTTAACTCTGTGTTTGAAAACGAGCAGAAAGGAACCGAACGCTGGAGCTATCATCACGTCTGCACTCGGAGCAAAGCTCACGCAACACGCGTTTCTTTCATGCTCATATATACTGCATGGTTTCAAAATAAAATGTAATAAAATCCACCACTTACTCTCTAAACACACGAGCTCCGAACTAAATCCCAGATGTAAGCAACGTTATTCCATGAAAGCGAAAATAAAACATTTGGCAACATGTCATCTACCAAATAAGGCGGACGAAAATTATGTAAAATGTGTTGGAAAAGTCTTATTATTATTAGACCAACTCTCAGGATAAATAGAAAAAAAACAACAAGAGGGGCGGAGCCCGGCTTTTATCCCATCAGGGAGTCTGATGATGGAAACCAAACAGTTTCCTCACAGACAAAATTCCTGAAACCTTGGAAAAACAAATGTCAGGTATGAAATGCTAAAGTGAATACTGAAAATACATCATCTATTCTTTAAACTATTAATTCCCCGTCAGTTCACAAAAAAGAAGAAGAAAACGCATCATCGTACCGAACGGCGTGTCAGGCCTGCGAACGGTGTTTTTAACTGAGCGAGTGAAGGCGAAAATAACGTCACTCAAAACAATAAGAAAACAAAGCAGATGTTTGATCCTAGATTAATGTTTTTCTGTTAAATAGTGAAAAAGTTTTTTAAACAAATCAAAACCGTGTGAGCGCACGTTCGCTGGGTGGCGCGTTTTCCAGAGACGCTGCGATGAACAGTACCAGCAGAGCCGCATCAATGCCCTGTTCAGTAGCAGAGGGGTCACAAGCAAAGTGGGATTAATAGAGTGGCGATGGAGATGCATCGTGGGTAGTATAACCCTTAACTGGGGCAGCACGAGGGGATAGATGGATGAATCCCCCCGGCCCCTCCTCCAGTGCAAATCCACCACCCTCTGTGCGTGACTGTGCTTTTCAAGCAGCTCTCGCTGCTCAAGTGTTACAGCGAGAGGGGCGGAGCCCGGCTTTTATTCCATCTGGAAGTCTCTGACGATGGAAACCAAACACTCAGAGTTTCCTCACAGATAAAATCCCTGAAACATTCGGTGGACGATGGAAAAACATGTTTGTTCCTATGAACGTGTGCGCGCAGCGGTGCCACCCGACCTTTCTGACCAGCAGGGAGCGCTCTGGTTTCTACTGGTTTTGACCAACAGCCCTGCTTTATGCAATTCAATCATGAGCAGTTTTACTAACATTTACCTCTGTAAGTTGGGAACCGCTGGGGGCACAGTGCACAGGAATGACCTCGACATAAAGGTTAACAGGTCGGGGAATCAGCACAGACACACGGGTACAAAATGATCTGTAGCACCCTGTGAGGAGTACGATTTAAGCTATGACCGTGCAGGGACTCCACAGGAAAACCCATTTTTAACTTAATACCAGCCAGACTGTACTTAAAAAAAAAAGGAAATAAAGTCTTGGCTTGAAAACATCTCATTGGGTTAAAAATCGGGTTTTCCTGTTAGTCCCTGTGCCATCTGTTACATAAACAGAGCACCGCCCCCTCTCTCTGTCAGGGATGTGGAGTGAGCTGCTCGTCTTCTACACCGTCTTCCTCGCCGTCAGTACCCTGACGATGCTCCCCACTCCTCCAGCTGCCAGAGCCTGAGAACACAGAAAGAGAAAAACTGTTTTTGATGATCATAATAAACCAACTAAAATCGTTTTCTTACACTTAAGTGCTGTCGATTTGTTCGATAGTTCTGTGCTGCTTTCACTGCATTGCAAACCTCTGCAAGTTTGTCTTCTGAACACTGAGTTTCAATGTAACGCAACGTGCGATATAAACATTATTGCCACCACGTCCAGGCTGTAGCGCATGTGTGACAATGACTTGGACGGCTTGGACCATTTATTAACCCCTAATTTACGTGCACATGAACCTGCTGTATCAGACAGAATAATGACCCAATCTGTATGTTTTTAACCCAAGAAGATTAAGAACATGAAGTTTAAAGCACAACGTCTACAACTGTTTGATTTAGAAGCTGAGAAACACAGTTATCTGACCCTTTGGGTGTTTTCAAAGTGGAAAAGTTGAACTTGTCTATTGTTTTGGCTCAAGAAGACGCTGGAGATCCCACAGTGAGGTGGGAATATTTACCTTTTCGTGCCACTGCAGCAGGACCGCGCTGCTGTTCTCTGACGGCCTCTCGAAGCCTTTGTAGATGTATTTCATCAGCAGGTCCACGCCGTTTTTGTCGAGAGACTGCACGCCTTTCTCGATGTCACCGCTCTTGAAGGAGCTGAGCACCTTCAGCACCAGACCCTCCGCACGGTCCTGGCCAGGAGAGAGCAGACGCCTGAAGGCCAGAGTCGCTACACAATCCAGTCAGTTCGTATACCTGGCTGTGAAATCATCGACCACTGGACCTTGAGCTGCACACACCCTGAAAGGACCTCAGCTATAAGGTGCTGAAGATCTGCTTCTTTCTGCTGTATTGTTTAAGTTTGGAGAGCTTAAGAACCAAATATCACTGCTATACTACAAATCAAGAATCTGAAGTTTCTCAAAGTGATGCATTAAAATGTGCTGGCGCTTGAAGCTTTACTGACGAGGAAAACCGAGCTCACCTTGACGTTCTGGTTCTTTGTGTTGATTGGTGGGTTCTTCAGTACTGCATGTAAAGCCTCCGTGAGATTTCCTGTGCAGGAAAGGTTAAGGAAGCAGCGCAGCAAAGACTCACCCTCCATCACAACGGATGTAAAGAAAATTAGAAACTAGCCTTTGCCTTCGTCTCTCATAAAGAACAACAAGCTGCACAATCAGTGCAGTCCAATTTTAAAAGCACAAAGTCTTTCAGTTAAATCAGCTTTATGAGCAGGTCACTGCCTGAATAATACAAATGCATTCATGCCCCGCAGCTGTTAATCATCAAAAATGTATTAAACACCTTCCACAGCTCCATTTCCCCCCAAATAATTCTGTTTGCAGCATTGCTCAGTCTCCTGATTGGTGGTTTTCTACACTAATCAGCCGTAAGTATGCTTCATAAAGACGCTCGACCTTATTGCAGTCCATGGTAGCAAAACTGCTCAGGCACAGGGGAAACAGCACTTGTACGAATAAGTGACTGAAGCCTGAGTGCTTACAGTGACGCTGTTCAGGTTCCAGTCATTTACTTGAATGTGGATATTGATCCCTACAGACACAGACGGGGAGATTTCTCGCGTGACCAAATAAGGAGCTACCGTACCAGCAAATCTCTGTCATACAGCGATTGCTCAAGATTGCTTGACTGGGTTTTGCTTTGATGTTTTGAGTTTTCTCTGTTGTAACACGCGCTGGGAGGAGTTGCTCAATGGGGAAGTGGAGCGCCTTCGAGCCCTATATGGCCTACAAAGCTCTTTTGACCCTCTGCGAGATGCCGGGTTCACCACACCCTAAAATGCACTTGCAGCATCAGGGAGAAAGCAGACCTGGGCAGGAGGGTGAACTCAGTAAAAGTGATGCACGCCCGCTTGTTCAATCTTGGAGCGCAATCCCTGGAATGTGACTGTCAGGCAAGTCGGGGCAGTGACTGGCCTGCTAGCTAAACGCCCATCCATGCAGCTAGCATCCCCGAAAGCTAAGTGAAGTGTGCGGATAAATCTGAGCCTTACGGGCACGCTGCACAGGCCACCGCGGCACTTTCATTCAGCACGCCGTGTAGGCTAACGGGCGGGCTAGCTAATCTCGTAAAGGATATTGTCTGATGAGCGAGTCCACCTCTGCCTCGTCAGGACCCATCTGATTTTCTCCTCCGTCCTCCTCGTCCACAAACTTGTTCTCGTCGTATTCGTCCACGTCCACTCGCCTGAAGCGGGCGGACACGGTATTCTTCGACATGTCTGCGGCGATTCGGGTGATTTATATTAAACCGAAAAGCAGAAGCGTTCGCGCGCAAATCCTTTTTAAAAAAATTATTTCTGCAGTGCTTTTTTCTGATGTGGGCTGTCACTGGCAGACAGGCGACTTCCGGGCCTCCCCCTTCTTTCCTCCCTCGCCGTTACTTTGACTTCCGCTGACTCAATGCCGCCCCGTGGCTGCAGTTTCTGTTCTCACCGCCAGAGGGAGCTCAAACCAAAGAAATAGTTCCGCGGTCAACAAAACTAAGCAGGCTATGTTAAGATTTTCAACTTTAGTATTTAATTAATTTGCATCACTTTTTGTCACAGTGTACTATGACATTGCAAAATAAAATGAAATTCTGCAGCTATTTATTTTATTTATTTTATTTTGAGCAGTGGAATAGTCATAATTTCTAAGTCAGCAAAAAGAATTTTCTGGCACAACTTCACCTGCTTCCAAGGTGCATGGAGAGGATAAAAGAATTCACAAAGCAGGA